CAATTCAAAGTATCCATCAAATTTTACTGACACAATTTGGTCTTAATGATACGCTTCGCAAATAATCTAAGCTTCAGAAAATAGTGATTCTTTGACGAGTTAACACAACCTGAAGATCTGGACTGCAGCAGCTTAAGATTGAATATAATGCGGACAATCGAAGAAAACATTATGGCACTTCCCCCATCAAACGATACACATCTTAAATTACCGAATATACAACACGAAACAATAAATGCAACAGCTTCTGAATACGAAACGAAACAAAATCTCATTAAGATATCAATGAAATTCTCTTCATTCGTATTCTACCTTGAATTAAGCATCCTTTCAAGCCGTTCGATTTCGGGGTAAAAACTCTTATTCGAGAAACCTCCTTTCATCTTCATAAATTCAACCAAGTCAAGAACGATCTAAAATCGAAAACTCTCTCACTGAATTTTTGTCACAAAGCCATCGGCATAATCTGTTCCGGCCCACGAATTATAATAAATACCAATAAAATGATATGATTTAATAAAGTTGACAAGAATATTCATATAATTGACGACTACATTATTGACAGTTATCAACAATGTAATAACAAACACGCAACAATATTGACGTTAAAAACGCAATCTTACAGTTTGTCGCCGTTCATGAAAGCACGGTACATTCACAGTTATAAGTAAACTCTAAATTAGGCTTTGTCAAATGCAATCTTCTGTTTTGCGAAGATTTTCTCCTTCATGAGAGCAGCTTTTTGTTTCTGATTATTACTCAAATTCACCATTGCGGTACGTAGTTGTGGCATAGATGTACGAGTGTTGAGAATATTTAGTGGCGTACCAAACCTAAATCCAAAACAACATTACAAATACGTTTCGCATTAAACAACAGCAATTTTTTTCTTCTGAATGAACAAATTTCACCGCTAAATGCGCACTGTTATTAACTATCTTTGTTATAAACATGAACATCTAATGCGCTTGAATTGGCATCAACATTTTAAACCAAACCGAACATCAACATTTGATCGCAAAAAGGGAATGAAAGAATTCATGAAGAGCAGTCGAATTCGATTAGAATCACAAACTTTAAAAGTGTTTAAATCACTAACTTTTCTTCCAATTTTTCTGTCAGACCGATAACAGTTTTTTTAACAGATTTCCGGAAAGACATTACCAGAAAACGTTCAATCAGTGAATTAATACGTCCATAATTTACGTCCACCCAAACCGCTCGCTCAAGATTCGTTCGTTGTTCCGGAATTATCCCGGACTCGCCCCATCGGCTTTCATTCTCAAAACCGAATTTCGTCAACAAAAAGTTTAAAATTCAAAAGGATGAATATCTCTATGACAATGGAATAATTCAATTCCTGCAACAATCTCATGTCGTCGAGGATATACGGGCATCTAATTATTATGGCACATATCAGTGGCTCTCAACCTTCTTTCTCGCCCAGACTCCTTAAAAAAAATCATGCCCTAGCACCCCCTATTAACAATAGTTAAGATATCCTCGCATCCCCTACAAAAATAGTTAAAATGTGTAC